TATATATATATATATATATATAATAACTAAATAAAATACAAAATAGGGCTGGAGGTGTGGATCAGTGCTGGAGCGCCCCTGAGTTCAATCCCTGGTACCAAAAATAAATAAATAAATACACCATCACGTTAATGTGCCCTTCAGTCTACCCATCTAGCTTTTGCAGGTCACCATCACTCGCTGCCTTTGTTTTCTTGTTCTGCAGCAGGGCGACAGTTACAAAGGTGGGGTGTGAAGGGAGGACCCAGGAAACGTGATGGGAGTTCCGGAAGACTGAAATAAGGATCCAGCCGCCCTTACAAACACGGCCTCTCCACCTAGGAGCTGCCTCCACCGAGGCTGGCGCGCTGCGCAACGTTAGCAACTTTGCCCTTGAAGGAGTAGCCGCGATTTCGCTTCTAAACAGTTGGGTGCCAGCTTCCTGCCAATCCTGGAGGACACGCCCAGTTCCCTGGCTGGGGTTAGTGAAAGTGAAAGGTTCTGACGGTCCCTGAGGCTGGATCTGAAACACCTGGCAGCAGGAAGAACAGGTCAGCCCTAACTCGAGGGTGCTCCCAAGCGGCTGTGGACTAGCAATAGTCTCTGCAGAGGGATTGGAGAAGTGTGAGCCAAACTGTAGGTACGTGGAGAACTTGGAGAAGTCTACGACATAGCAACCCTTTTTCTTTTCCTTCTAGTTTCTTGAGCTTGCAGAAGTCGAATTTTTTGGGGGGGGCGGGGGGAGGGCTGAAGGGGAGGGGCTACTGGGGATCAAATACAAGGGCACTCTACCACTGCATTACATCCCCAGCTTTATTTTTTTTTTTTGTACCAGGGATTGAACTCAGGGACACTCAACCACTGAGCCACATCCTCAGCCCTGTTTTGTATTTTATTTAGAGACAGGGTCTCACTGAGTTGCTTAGAGCCTTGTTTTTTGCTGAGGCTGGCTTTGAACTTGCGATCCTCCTGCCTCAGCTTCCAGAGCTGCTGGGATTACAGGCTTGTGCCACCACACCTCGCCCCATCCTTTTTTATTTTGAGACAAGTTCTCCCCAAGTTGCTGAGGGGCTCACCAAAGTGCTGAGGGTGACCTCCAACTTGCTATCCTCATGCTTCGGCTTCCTAATTCACTGGGATCACAGGCATGTGTCACCTGGTCAGCCAAGAAGTTGATTTTTTTTTTTTAAGTAAGTTTTTATTTAATTGACCAAATTGTGTCCATCCAATATATACCACATGGTTTGTTGGACATATGCATTATATAATGAACACCACAATCAAATTAAGTAGTGCATCCTTCAATCAAATTAATTAACACTTCTATTACCACCCATAGTTACTATGTTGTGTGTGTGTGTGTGTGTGTGGGTGATGGAGGGGGAGGACAAGTAAAATCTGCTCTTGTCAAATTTCAAGTAAACAATGTAGTATCACTAAATATAGTGACTATGCTATATATTACACCCTCAGAATTGATTCACCTTACAATTGAAACTTTGTACCTTTTAACTAACATCTCCCCATTTTCTCTACCCCAATCTCTGGCAACTATTCTACTTTCTGCCTCCCAGTTTGACTTTTTTAGATTCTACATGTAAACAGAATCATATGGTATTTGTCTTGCTGAGCCTGGCCTCTTTCCCTTAGCACAAGATCCTCCACGTTTATGTTGTCTCAAATGGCAGGATTTCCTTCATTTTAAAAGCTGAATATGGGGGCTGGGGATATAGCTCAGTTGGTAGAGTGCTTGTCTTGCCTGCACAAGACCCTGGGTTCAATCCCCAGCACCAAAAAAAAAAAAAAAAAAAAAAGCTTGAATATATTGTGTGTGTGTGTGTGTGTGTGTATAACAATTTCATTATCCATTCATCTATCAATTAGGATTTAGGGAGAAGAAAGACTAGTGTAAACCTAAATCTCCTCTCCTTGCCACAGGACTCATGTACCCAATTCTCAAATGCATACTAAATACTGATTATCTAACATTCGGCAAAGTGGGAGAAAAGGACCATTAAGGACCATTTCCTAAGCCAGTAGGTACTCTGAGTATTCTGAGTCCATGTGGGAGGCTGTAACTTACCCCTTTGGGAATCCCCGCTGGGGCTTGAACTCAGGGCCTAAAACATGCTAATCATTGAGCTGCATACTGAGCCACCAATATTGAGCCCAGGACTTCCAGTATGCAGGAAAGTGTGATCTACACTGCAGTCCTTTTAAATTTTTATTTTGAAACAGGGTCTTGCTAAGTTGCCCAGGGTGGCCTTGAACTTGCCATCCTCCTATCTCAGTCTCTTGAGTAGCTAGGATGATAGGTATGTTCCACTGTACCGGGTAAGTCTGGGATTTTTATTGTAGTTATGCATGTGTGTTTGTTTGATCCTATGATCTGTTGGTGCCTCATACTGCCTGGGTAGGTTGAGGAAGAAGCAGGAATTGACGTGACTGGGAGTTGGCAAACTAATGTGGCTGTAGTTTGGGCTTCTGCTGAATGGGAAAGTCAAAAAGGGCCTATTGAATTGAGCCTCAGTATCTCAGAGAGTCAGATCTGGGTGGCAGTGGGGCCTATTCACAGTATTTGTAAAGCCAGGGAAAGAGTGCAAATGGAGATCCAGGTTCTGAATGTCTAAATAATTAGATGTTCACAATAAAACTAACAAACGGTTTAATAAAACTGTCTAGCTGGATACAGTGGTGCATGCCTGGAATCCCAATGACTCGGGAGGTGGAGGAAGGAGAATCACAAGTTTGAGACCAGGCTTGGCAACTGGCTGGGGATAAGGCTCAGTTGGTAGACTGCTTGCCTTGCATGCACAAGGCCCTGGGTTCGATCCCCAGCACCACCAAAAAAAAAAAAAAAAAAACCTGTCTCAAAATAAAAAATAAATAGGGCTGGGAAGGTAGCTCAGTGATACAGCTAGACTCAATCCCCAACACCACCAAATAAATAAATAGATGGACAAATAAATAAAATATGGTCTCATTTCTTACTTTTGCAAAATATAGCTTCATAAAAACAAAACAAACAAACTTCCTTTAAACAAACATTTTAAAACATTAAAAAAGCTGTGGTTTTGTATGTCTGAAAGCCAGAAAAATACAAAGGTAACTGAATGTAATTATTACTATACATGTAAAACCAATGAAATACTAATTATTTTAATTTCCTTATCCACCCCCCCCCTTGGTAGTTCATCAACAGGTATAATGTACATTACTTGTTTCCCATAACTTATCTATAATATAATCTAGCTAAATTTAGCAACTAAGTGAGATTTATACCAACTACATATGCTGTATATGAATTCTTCTCTTTCTTTAAATCCAAGTCTCATTTTGAGTCTCATTGGCAGCACTGGGGCTTGAACTCAGGGCCTAAAACATGCTAATCATTGAGCTGCATCCCCAGCCCTATGATGCATTTTTAAGATTTTTTTTTTTTTACACACAAAATATCTTTTATTCTGAATTACAGAAATCAAAACTTCAATCTAGTACTATTTATAAGACCCAATGATGTCACATTTTTAAAAAATATAACCACATAATAGCTTTTTAAATTTGAGTTTGCTCAAATTTGTCAGTTTATCATTTTACCTTTATTGGATGATTTTACCAAGTTGTAAGATCCAACAATTACAACCACATCAATTTTTTTTTTTTTTTGGCACCAGGGATTGAATTTAGGGGCACTCAACCACTAAGCCACACCCCAAACCTTTTTATTTTTTGATACATGGTCTCAGTTGCTAAGTTGCTGAGGCTGTCGTTGAACTTGTGATCCACCTGCCTAAATCTCCTGAGCTGCTGGGATCACATGTGTGTTCCAACACACCTGGTAAACCATATTAATTCTTGACAGAATTTTGATGTCTTATAGTATATAGATATTGAGTGACATCCAATTAAAACATCAATATACCTTTCATTTACTAAAGAAAATACTTTATTCAAGTTCCTAAAACAAACTTGAGGGGTTATTCTGGGTTTGAATTGAAGACAAAAAGTCAACTTAAAATATGAAAATGAATAGTTTTCATTTAGTGACAGTCAAAATCAATGTATACATTCTCCAATCAAACATCTGTCCCATGTAGAATTCTTCAAGTTTTAAGAGTCTACCAGGCCAAACCCTTTGCTGCCTTTGCTGCTTTTGCTTTGCTCTTCCCCTTTCCTTTTTCTCGCTTTGCCTTCAGTCTTTTTCTTTGCCTCTGGTTCATCCACACAGGGTACTGTCCATGCTGGTCTAGAAGAGTCTTTTTGTTTCTCTTAATCTCAGTCTCCATTTTCATGTCATCTTTTTCATCATTCACCACACTCTGCGTTTTCTCTTGGCAATGTTTAGGTACCACCACAGTTGCTATTTCTTCAACATCTTTCATTAAAACATCACTGCCAACTTTGAGAATATTTTTAAGTCTGTTGAGCTCTTTTGGAGCATTCTTTTTCCTCTTTTCAGCCCGCATCTTCCTTTTCCACTTACTCCGTAAGCTTTTAGCCATCTTTTACAAGATCACGTTTTCCAAGCAGCACGCCACCGACTGGAAGCCCCCAACCTAAGATATTTATTTATTTATTTATTTTTGGGATAGGGGATTGAATCCAGGGATGCTTAAACACTGCACCATATTCCCAGCTCTTTAAAAAAATATTTATTTTATTCATTTTAGTTGTTGATGGATCTTTATTTTTTATTTATATATGGTGCTGAGAATCGAACCCAGTGTCTCACACATTCAAGGCATGCACTCCATCACTGAGCCACAACCCCAGGCCTCCAGCTGTTTTTTACTCTACTTTGAGATAGGGCCTCACTAAGTGGCTTAGGACCCTGCTAAATGAACCCTGCTAAATTGCTAAAGCTGGCTTTGAAATTGTGATCCTCCTGCCTCGGTCTCCTGAGCCACTGGGATTACAAGCGTGTGGCACTGTGCCCAGTCCTGTAATTCATTTAAAAAACCCACATTACAAGTTGAACATTTTGTATCATATAATGTCTATGAAAACTGGAGTTTTTTCATTGTTTTCCATAAGTATAGAGCAGCCATTACTATGAGAAACATCATTATGCTTGATTAAATATTGGTCACTAATTTTAATTTATAAGAGTATCATCAGTCACATGATAATGTTATTTGTCTTTGTTCAGTACTATTTTTGTTTTGTAGTTTATTAATCTCTTAAAAAGTAATTTTAGTAACTGCATAAATGTTGTTTGTATGCAAATGATGTTTCCCTTTTAAAAAATATATATCAAGACCATAATTATTTCCAGACACAAATACCTTATTTGGCCAAAGCAGATCTTATAAGATCTGTTGTAAAACTCTGATAGTAGGAAAAAAAATATGTAGTTCAGTACTCACAATATTAAAAACACATAAAAACTATTTTTTAAAATAATTTCTTATGTAAAATAATTTAGGTATAAAATTAAACGCGAACTTTTTTTTGTTGTTGTGTTCATGCAATGGAAAATTGTAATCATTAATTTGAATCAGACTGCATTTTGCTAGAAATCTATTTCTCCTGTCAGAAGGATGAGATAGCCATTTTTCAGGTTCAATATCCAATAAGCAGAGTAAAATTTGATGTTCGCATTCGATTGCAGCTTTTATAAATGCAATTTCTCTTCATATATTAGTGGACAGATCAGAGTTGCATTTGGCTTTCTGAATTATAAATTTCTTACGCATAATTCTCTTTGTTTCCTTCTCATTGTTTTGATCAATAATTAAGTCTCCATTTAATAAAGAATATGAAGTCTCAGGGATTTCATCTGATCTTTTCAAATTGTGGGTTTGAAGATTTCTTTTGTTCATTTTCATACAATTAGTAATTAAATCTTCATTAAATAAAGAACTCATAAAGCCCTGTTTGCAAATTTTAAGTGGGTCATACTCAGCAAAAACCTCCTCACTTTCCTGGTTTCCTGTTTTTAGAAATGTAAGCAGTCTGCTCCTCTTCTCCTTTTCTTCTCTGAGCTCTATTTTCTATCTTCATGATGATAGGATGACTGGCACTCATTTTCAAACGTTTTTAAACAAAGCTTAAATTTATATTTAAATTTGTGAATTTAAATTCCATCTGAAAGATTTCGTAAAAAATGTATAATTCTGCAGTGGTTACTACAGTGTGGGAAGGATGTGGGAGAGGGGAGTTGGAGAAAGGATGGCTATGGATACCCGGATGCAGCTGTAGGGAAAATAATCCCTGAAGTTCAGGGTAACTGCAGTGGACAACAATCAATGACTATTGTAAAATAGCTTGTACAGAGAATTCTGAATGTTTTCAACACAAAGAAATGATAAATGTCCGAAGTGATAAACATGCCAAAAAACCTGATTGGATCATTACACATTATATACGTGTATTAAAATGTCAAACTGGGGGCTGAGGTTGTAGCTCAGTGGTAGAGTACTTGCCTTGCATGTGTGAGGCACTGGGTTCAATTGATTCTCAGCACCACATTAAAAGTAAATAAATAGGGTAAAGGTATTATGTCCATCTACAGCTAAAATTTTTTTTAAAAGCCACACTGTATTCTATAATTATGTACAATTACTATATTTCAATTTAAATATATTTTCAAAAAATTATCAAGTGGGCTGGGAGTGTTGCTCAGTGGTACAGCACTTGCCTAGCATGTTTGAGGTCCTGGGTTCAATCCTCAGCCGCCCCAGTACCCACCAAATTATAATTTTAGTATTCAATGTGCATCTGGTTGCATTGTGTTTGTCCATCTAGTTGTCAATTCAGAAAATGCTTCATGAATGTGGCATCTAGGCCTGCATGTGCAGAAACTTAACAGTGATATGAATTATTTAATGTTACAAAATATTCCTCAGCTGTCTTTTGCAACTGTTGCAAATATCAGAACCCTGCACCACTGAGGAATGATACCTTGTTATGCAAGAATCTGTTGCATTCATGTTATCCAGGAGGAAGGATTTGACAACCTAATTATTTCATCTTTTTTTTTTTTTTCTTTTTTCTTAAATGCCTCCTCCTCCTTGTGCTCTGAAGCATTGCCTAGCTCTCTCAGTAGCAGCACAACTTTGAGTCTTCCTGGCATCAGGGCTTATTCCTCTTTGTTTCTAAACACAGGGCTAGAATGCAGGGAAGCAATTTCTTGGATGTGAATGGCATAAGCCATGAGAACAAGTGTTTAGTTCATGGATACTGATGTGCCCAGGACTGCTGTGCCAAATCCCAAGTGATAGGCACCCTGACATACCTATTAAAAGGTTAATTCCAACCTTTTGTGTTTGTTATATGTGGGGTCCTCTGAAGCTCAAGGGTCCTGCTTGCCTGGGTTAAGGGCAGTGGTCACTTTGGATGCTGTCTTAGGACCTAAGAAGAGGTTTGTGGAGAGTAAGATCCCTGGCAAGCTAGGGAGTGGGGAAAAAGAGCCACCCTAGGTGAGATTTGGGAAAGAGGGCAGAGGCACATTGACCATGAGGCTAATGAAAGTTGTTCAAGGTCCCTCATTTGTGCAGATTGCCAAGCCCCAGGACTAATTTAATTCTACATTCTTCTTCTTGAGCTTGGCCCCCAACCCACAAAACTTAAGTTAGAAAAACTTAGGGCGAGGTGTTGGGGACCATTCCAAACAGGTTCAAGTTATTCAGGGCAGTGTCCCCTTCTGGCAGTGTCCTCAAAAGGAACCAAAGCCATTTGAGCTGGTTGCAGAAGGCCTGGACCAACCCAGTGGGGTTTCCCAGTGACCCCAGTAGTGAGAATCATCTGATTCTCTAGCACTAATCAATAGAAATAGAATGCAAGTTACATGTATCATTTAAAGTGTTCTAATGGTCACCTCAGCACATAAGTAAAAAATAAACAGATGAAGATCATTCTAATAATGTAATTTATTGAAACCAATGTGTCTAAAATATTATCTAAGTCTTTACAATAAGGTGTGTATTTTACACTGAGGGCACCAGACCAGCCCCATTTCAACTGCTACTTGGGGCTAATGGTGACAATATTGGGTGGCTCAGCTCTAGATAAGCTTGGTCTCTATCTTCCAGTCAGTACTGGCTGGGAAGCTGTATTAGTTTTCTACAGATGCTATAACAAACCTCCCCAAGTTTGATAGCATAAAACAACACAAAATTTATTTTCTTACAGTTCAGGAAATCAAAGCCCCAAATGGGTTTCACTGGGTTAAAACAAAGATGGATACCAGGTTGCATTTCTTCTGGAGAACCATGCCCTGCCTTTTCCACTTTCCAGAGGATGCCCGTTTTCCTTGGCTCATGACCCTACACCACTCTGACCTCCCCTTCTCATACACAGACTCCCATGCATCCCTCTTCTAAGGACTTTTGTTATCATATTGGACCCGTTCAGTAATCCAGAACAACCTCCCCATCTCTAGATCCTTAATTTGGTGACTCCTGCAAAGACCCCTTTACCACATACAGGACCTGGGGAGTACCATGCAGACATCATCATTTGGCCTACCACAGGTCCTAAGGAGGATCTGAGGTTTCAGGGGCTCTAGTCAAAGTTGGGCCTGGGAAAGAGAGAATGACTCTATCTCGTCCAGAGTAAGAGACAAGAATACACTGAAATGCCACAGGAGAAAAACTAGAGCAATTGAAGGTGTTAAGTCTTAGGGGGCAAACCTGGCTCAGGGTCATCTCAACCAGCAAGCTCCTTCCCCCACCCCATTGTCTCAGTTGTAGTCCCTAAACGGAGCTTTTTCTCCAAAGATCATATCCATTCCACAGTTTCGGGTCCTTCCCCACTGTACTCTGTAATAGGCATTTGCCCAAAACCTCAGAGTGCAAACAAGAAGCTGAACTCTGAGGCTGGGGTTGTGGCTCAGTGGTAGAGCGCTTGCCTAGGACAGGTGAGGCCCTGGGTTCGATCCTTAGCACCACATTAAAATAAGTAAATAAAATAAAGGTATTGTGTCCAACTACAAATAAAAAAAAATATTTTAAAAAATAATAAAATAAAATAAACAACAATAAAAAAAAGAAGAAGCTGAACTCTGATGATGTACTTAGTGGTAGAGTTTGAGTCATTTAAACATTGAAATATTCATTGAATAAAATAAACAAATATTTTTTGCATTTTCTTGGGTCTACTGTTAAAATGAGACAGTATGTTCCTGACCCAGGACTCAGCTCTAAATAGGTAAAAAACACCTCCTAAGAAAAAAGATTACAAAATTTGCAATCACCTGCAGCAATAAAAATATGCAGTTCCGGCTTCCATAAAACAGGTTTCATGAACTGTAGAGCACACGAAAGTATCATTGGCTCATACATTTGAACTAAAGCCTAATCCATGGCTATAAATGTGGTCAATGATACTCTTGCTTGACTGGCTAGGGTTTAGCATGGCTCATATGAGATGATTTAATGATCCAAGAATATTTCATCTGTACCTTTATTATCTCTTGATATATTTCCCTGGAGCAAGCAGAGGTATTTTAAAGTGATTTCCATGAGTCAATACATCTGGTACTTAATGCGCTATTGCTAATGATGGTCATGGTCATCCTAGCCAACCTAGT